TATATAACTCTCTATTTTTTTTCTGATACCTTCTTGTCTATTTTTTCTTTTTCTGTAATTATTTGGTACCAATCACTTTCTTTTTTGCTAATTCTTTGTATTGCCTTACTTTTGCTATACTTATAGTCAAATCTATCTCTACCTATAGGTTTCTTCTTTTAAAAACTTCAATGTTTTTGACATGTTCATTATTTTTTAATGTCTATTTAATAAAGTTTGTGCATTCTTCTTTGGTCTTCTAAGGTACATTATGTGCATATATATTTGCAAGCAGGCTGTTGTTTCGATTGCAGTTACTTTTGCTTAGTGCCTATATGCTTTCTTTAAGTAGTACTCCAAATATATCGATTTCTCTTTTGATTTCTTGTTTTTTTTTTTTTTTTTTTCTTTTTCTTCTGTTGTTGATCCTTGTCTTTATTTTTTCCTATTTATTTCTATATATTCTTGTTTCTGTTCTCTTTTCTGTTCATTTTTTTTTGTCATAAGCAGATGATTTGGCTTCTACTTGGCTATTATTTGTTTGTCCTATCTTTATACCTACTTGTTTCCTTGTAATCTTGATACTTACTTGTATGCTTTTGTTGGTTTCTTTATCTTCTTCTTTTCTTTTTCTTGTTTTTTTCTTCAGCTCTTCTTGTCTTTCTTTACTCTTATTTGTCTGCTGTTGATTTTCTTTCTTTTCTATACTTATTCTATCTTGATATTGTTTTATAAAATCAAGCTTTTTTTTAGGTTGTTCTCTTTCTGCTTTTTCTAATATTTCTTTTGTTATTTACAGAAGTGCTACTTTATTTTGGTCTTGCTTTGTAAGTGCTATGATGATATTATCTTCTTTACTTGGTATAGCATATGTCTTGCTTGCTTCATTGAAGTAGATTTTATTATGTATACTGTTTATAGTCTTATATGTCCTTTTTGTAAAAATTGCATTAAGGCTTCTTCTATATTCTTCTGACAGATTTTTGTTTATATTGCACAATCATTTTCTATATACTTCTATATTATGTGTTTTATCTAGGCTAAACTGGTTTGATGTATGTGTTTGTTTGTTTACTTTGCCTATCCTATTGTAACTTTTGTATAACTTGAAGAATCTATGATACAGAGTTATGGCAGTTCTCCAATTTTTTAAAAAAAAGCTTTTCTACTTTTTATCAAAATTCTTTATATGCTGTTCTCTGCTGTTGTTTTAGTTTTTCTTCTATATTCTACTATTAAACTATATGCAAGTTTTTCTATTTTGTTTTTTTTATTAGTATCTCAAGTCTTGTTTTTTAGTCTAGTTGTTGCATTTTTCTATGTTTTGTTTCTTGGAAATTTTGGTCAAGAGATCTATATGAGAAAGATAATAATAATATTATAATGACTCTGTAGATCACTATTACTAATTAAGATTACTAATTAATTTATACAAATCTATTTTTGTTTCATCTATTTTTAAACAAAACTTAATATTACCAATTTTATTTAACAAATTTACACAAATTTTTGTTCTACATTGATTATACCAATTATTTAAATGTTATGCCAAATGTTACCTTAAATATTATATTCTATTTATTTGTTACATTCCTTATCTGTTATATTACTTATTTGTTATATCTTTTATTTATCACATCCTAATACCAAAAATAACTCAAAAAAATACCTACTTTAACTGACTCTTAAGAACCAGATTTCTATGATATAAACTACTACTATTTTAAATACAAAGACTGTTATGAAGTTGGACTTCAAGAATCCAAACTTCAAGCTTTAAGAGTTCTTCTATTAGCAGCTAAACCAGACTATTATGATGCTAAAAAACAGCAACACTATTTCAAAATTCTATTACAATCTAAATTGCAACCTGCCTTTGTAACAAATTTCATACAAACTTTACTTCTTAATTTACAAAATTACTACTTTAATCACAATTAGGCAACCTTTAAATCCAACTTAAACTTAAATTAGAAATACTATCTTTTCACAAAGTTTTAAAAGAATAAAAGAACTACTAGCCTTACCAGTTCCTAAATTAACTAATCAAACACAACTCTCTTCATCTTTAACAGTATGTGTTCTTTTTTCAAACTTTCAAACAGACCCAACTTTTATAGCTATAATTGTATATTCACAACACTACCATACTTGTTTCTTTGCAAACTTAAAAATATTCAATATGTTTTTACTAATAGTTAACAAAATCATGCTTCAAATTATACAACAGCATGCATCTTTAAAGGCTTTCTAATTTATTGCACTTATATATCACATATTCTAAATCTTAAACTCAAAATTAAACTAACTAAACCAATAACTCTACTTAGTTCTAACTAAAAAAAAGTAATCATTTTTTACAAACTTAGCATTATGTTTGCAAAAGACAAAATCCAACTATACAAATCTATTTTTCCAAAAAAACCAAACTCTCAATACTTTACCAAAGAACAAAAACAAACATCTAAAGATACTTCTAATAATTTTGATTGGTTCAAAAAATTTTCAATTACTGAAAAAATAAACATTATACTAAACTTGACAACAAACTAGTTTTACAAATACTTGAATTTATTAAACTATACCTTATTAATGTATATTCAGGAAAAATTATTAAATAAGCAACTGAAAATAAACTAGCATCCAAATTTAATTATATATATCTAATTAAAATCTTAGCAAGTCAACAATCTAAATTTCTTACAGATTTTATTTATAAAAATAATTCTTTTATAAACTAATCTTTCATCATTCTTTTTAAACTTATTCATTTTACTCTTATATTATTACTTAAAGAATTTACTATTACACTTTTTACTCACCTTGATTATCTGAAAATTTTTACTTCATTTAACTCAATTCTACCTTATACTACTTCAAATAGAATGCAAGTTGCACTGAATTTAGTACACCTTTACCTTATTCTTTATAACAAAAAAATTCTATGAAGATCTTAAACTCTATTCAATATACTTCAAATTTCATTATTATATTAGTAAGGATAGCATTAACCAACCTCTTTTTAAAATCCAAAATGATAATAAATTCAATGTCAATATATCTCTCAATATCCCAAAACAACAATTTCTTCAAACATTCCAAATTCCATCTTTTAAAAATTACTTAACACAATTCAAAACATAGTTCAATACCTTCTTCAACATTTATAAACAACAATTTATTTAAATTAACAAACAAAAAACATTTAACTTTATCAAATATCAAATTGCTTTTAAACTTTTCAACATTTATAAAGCACTTTTATCTTAACAATTCACTATTACTTTTATTACAATCAACTATAGATGACCTTACCTCTTTTGGTCACGATTTTTTCTACTAATTCATAACCAACTATGTATATAATAGAAATCTGGACTGACTAAAAAATTTCATTATATAATACATTCATTATATATATATATGACAAATTATACTAAGCAAGCATAGAATTCCATTATATAAATATTTTATTAAATATGTATACATATATACTAATATTTTATACAATATAATTTACAGGTAATTAACTACAATAAACTACAAAATATTAATGTAATAAAGCTAATTTTAAATGACTCAAAAAATCTTGATAACTATATTTTAAATAATTATATAATATTAAGCATTAAGTTTATTAGTATTAGTTTAAATATAATATGAGAGCAATTATTACTTTAAAAGCTAAATCTTTCTAGAAAGAGTTGGATCAGTCTGATCTAATACAGAAATTAGCTTCTTATGACAGATTTCAAATAAATGGATTTTTAGTTTAAACTACTATAAATCAAATAAAAATCAATATGCATACTTATTTTAAAATAAACCAAAGTCACTTTTCCTATATAAATCCATATTATACAATTGTTTGAATTGACTTGAAGTTGGTTTAAAAAAGTTCAAAATCAATCTAAAATCAACTAATTAGAGCATTTTAACATCTAGTCTCAAGTACATGCATATGTATATATTAGATTTATTATCTTATTTTTATGAACTATAGTTAATAGTACATGTATTGTATTATGAAAAATATACAGTACATTATAGCATATTTGTAAAATACTTCCAAAATTTGAAAAATTTTGATTACCAATAGTGAGTCAATTTAATTAACTTTATATATATAAATATGAGTTAAAGTTATTGTGAAATACAGTATATTCAGATTTAAATTATAATATACTAAATTATATAATATAATTTGTTTTAATTTCTAATAAGGTGTGTTATTAAAATGAATAAAAATTGAACAATAAGAAGATAGGTTAAATGGTAGGAAGATGAGTTAAACATGATAATGCAATAGTATTTTAATAAATCTAAAATGCAAAAAAAATCTTTGAAGTTTAATTTTGATCAATTAATAATAAATTTAATAATCAAATACATGAAAATATTTAGATTTGATGACCAAAATATCTCTTAATTTCACAAATGCACTGTAATACTTAAATTAAGATCTAAGCTATTAATAATTAATATGTAAAACATGAATTATATAATAAAAAATTATTTGATAACTGTTATTTATTAATTTGAAAAAGTGCAAAGAACTTCCATATCTTTATTCTATCAATATACTATATTCAGCATAATTACTGTAATCAATTTAAAGAAAATATTTTTAGATCTTTTAAAACTATAAAAATGCAAATGTAATTGTTGATATACTTTAATTCTTAATAAGATGCGAAACTTCTAAATTTCAAAGTATAAAAAAAAAAGATGCAAAAAAAAATTTAAGCAAAAAAGATAATGCAAAAAAAGAAAAAAAAGAAAAACAACAATGTAAAAAAAAGATTTTTAATTCTTAATATGAAAAAAACTTGTAATATTAACTTGTTTTTTTTGCAAAGCAGATAATCTTGAAATTTTCTTGCTTAACTAACAAATGGTATTTCTATCATTATTAGTAGCATTGAACTTATCTAATTGTTGCAAAAGATATATTTCAATCAAATTGATAGCTTTTAGAGATCATTATTAGCAGTTTTGGGTACTGGTTCTATTATTTCTTCCTAAAAAGGTTTATTCTTATTTTTAACAGCACAGATTATATCAGCATTAGATGGCATCTCGAAAATAATTTCAGCATCAACATTTATAAATTTATTTGCATTCATAGAATTATTAATTTCTTTTGTCTACCAAATTGTTTATTAAACTGCCAAGCTTTTCACACTCTCTTTCTAACTTTACTTGCATCTGTTGACATGCCTGATTTATTTCAACTACTTAGTATCGAGTAAGAATATCTGTTTTTATTCAACAGTTTGCAATTGTTTCCTGAATAACATTTGTTCTATGCATCAGATAAAGCATTAATTGCATGAAAAATATTAAAACTATCAAGTTCAGATGAACCTATTGCTTTTATTTTGTCAAATGTGACAAGCTGATTCTCAATAAAAATATATTTATATTGGCACTTAAATGAGTTAATAATGCTGACATCATATGACTAAAGACTAGAAATAGTATTTTTTAGTATTTTTTTAATATAAATATTGTTAAATACTATTTGCTAAATATGAGTAGTGAAATTTTATCTAGGACGCAAATCATTAACTCTTTCCAACGATCACTTGTACCAAAATTCTCTGGTAATAAAACTGAAAATAACTTAATAATTTATTAAGTAAACCTTTTTTGGCCTCCTAAGTAAAATTGTTCACAACTAAATTTTAAATACAGGCGGCCTAGTTTTATATCTCCCGGACCTTTGTATAGTGAGATATATTTATTCAACTACAAAATACTTTTTCTAAAATTTTTAAAATATTTACTAAGCTAACCTTAGTTGTTATCTTAAACAAAAAGACA